GGTTAAGGGTTTAGGGTTTCCGGGTTTTTGAAGCTGAATGCTCCAGGCTCTCCAGCTCAGGGAGATTTCTGACAGGGCTTACAGACTATGAAAACTATTCCTTGAATGATGTTAGGGTTTAGGGCTTAGGGGTTAGGGTTTAGGGCTTAGGATTTAGGGTTTAGGGTTTAGGGTTTTGGAGTCACTGGGGGCCCTATACCCTGACGCCCGAAGCCCCTTCATGGAACTCTTATAACCCAATGCCTCAAGCCCCTAACTGCTTGAGTGGCTCGGCTGGAGGACTGTAGGGCTCAAGCCCTAAACCCCTAGGTTTAGGGTTTAGGGTTTAGGGTTTAGGGTTTAGGGTTTAGGGTAACCCTAAACCCTGAACCCGAAGCCCTAAACCCTAAACCCTACCTCGGCGACCGTCGTGCCGTCGGTGTAGTGCAAGCGGTCGCTATTTCCGGAGGCACGCCCGTTGAAGAAGACGACGCCTCTGCAGTGTCGGAGGGATCGGACGTCGGGTTCAAGGGGGTCTTGGGTTTAGTTTAGGGTTTAGGGTTTAGTTTAGGGTTTAGGGTTTAGGATTTAGGAATTCCGGTTTAGGGTCTAGGGCTTTGGGTTTTGGGCTTAGGATTTAGGAATCGTGCAGGGCTTCGGGTTTAGGATTTAGAACTTCAGGTGAGGTTTGAATCCCAAGAGGACCAAGTTACATCCCAAAACACAGAAACGCTTCTGGGAAACAACGAATCTAGGACATTTTCAGGTGAGTTATAAGAGCCTTATAGAAGGTCCATATACCTTATGGAAGCCCTATAGAAGCCCTATTTACCCTAAACTCCCCACCTGTAGTTTCCTTGAAACGAACCACCAAATAATCCAGCATCCCATAGCCCCCAGATCCTGCCATTTCAAAGCCCGAACCCCAAAGCAGTGCAACCTGCCATCTTACCAGCACATGGCACTCAAGGGAAGCCCCCAACCCTAACCCCTAAACCCTGAACCCTAACCCTAAACCCTAAACCCTAAACTCTGAACCCTGAACCCTAAACCCTAACCCTAAACCCTAACCCTAAACCCTTAACCCTGAATAAACCCTAAACCCTGAAGCCTTCAAGCCCGCACTCCTCAACCTTCATCCCAAAGCATTCCTGCTTGAAATATAGGGGCCTTAAAGGTTAGAATCGGGTGTTGGGTATAGCATACTGCAATTACAATAAGGAACCCCAAAATAGTATTGGAGATTCTTGAGGCCCCTATAGTACATACCAAAAAAGCAAACTGCAATGACCAATCTCCCAGAGCCTCCAAGGAAACCATCAGGGATCTTGCATAGTTTAGGGTTTTAGGGTTTAGGGTGTAGGGTTGCTCTTAACCGTTTCGGTGTTTAGGGTTTTTTGTTAGGGCTCCTTGTCGAACCTTGGAGGATCATGGGACTTGGTAGGTCAGGCTATAAGTACCTCAGTTAGGGTGGTGAGTAATTGCAGGTGGAATAATCCTAAACCCTAAACCCAAAACCCGAAGAATAAACCTAATTACGCGGGCCCACGATCCCTTGTCTGCTCTGGGAGCCGAAAAAACTCTTGTTCCCTGGCCTCCGAAGGAGATGAAGGAGGGGCCGCTGCTCCTTGTCTTCTTCGGGCCGCACACGGCTCTTGTACAGTCTTGAAAACGTTAGTCTTATATGGTTTTGTGAGGACCGTCTAGCTTTTGCAGCAGAGGGCTAAAGTTGACGGTTTTGCGCTTTCTTGGAGGCGCAAACGTGCGTATCAAACAGGTTGTGAAGAGACTGAAGGGTTTAAGGTTTGGGGGTTTGGGGTTTAGGGTGAAGGGTTTAGGGTTTAGGGTTTAGGGGGTTTAGGGGTAAAGGGTTTAGGGTTAAGGGTTAAGGGTTTAGGGTGAAGGGTTTAGGGTTTAGGGTTTAGGGTTAAGGGTGAAGGGTTTAGGGT